TCCTTCATTTTCATTTATCGGACAGCTTTGAATATTTCACATGGACAAAATAAAACATACTATTAATTAAATAAAAAATAAATTCAATCAAATTAAATTAAATTCTAACTCAATCTTGCTCATCTCTCTTAGGGTGTGTTTGGATGAAACCAAACTGTAGTTTGTAAAAGTGATTCTGGAGAATAGATTTTGGGGAAAATAGATTCTGTGAAGAATAGATTTTGTAAAAAAGTGATTCTGAGAAGTGAGAGTGTTTGGATAGTTGTTATCAGAAGCACTTTTTATATATACAAATTACTAAAAAAAAGACATAAGTTAATATGATAATTACAGAAAAAATAGATTTTATGATATATTTTAATTTGAAGGAATAAAATTGTTAATAATATATTTTTTACTAACATAATTAATAATACATAAGATAATATAATTAATAAATAATTAATGTGTATATATATTTATAAAATATAAGATTAAATATGTTTATCAAAAAATATGTTTATAAAAAAAATAACAAGATACATATCATATAAGCTCTCACACTCTCCCTTTTTTCTCCAAAAGCAAAAAAATTTTGCTTTTTCCAAAACTATGGTTTTGATTTTTAGAGGGGTGTTTGGGTGATTGACACCCCAAACCATGGTTTGGGTCCCCAAACCATGGTTTGGGTCCCCAACCATGGTTTGAGGTGTCACCCAAACACACCCTTAATCTCTCTCTACCGTAATTATTCAACAATAGAAATATAAGGGTATTCTTGAAAAATATATTAATTACTTTATAGTAGATGTTAGGCAAAAAAAATTAGTTCATATATTTGTAAAATAAGAAAATATGAATGTAAAAAACTTTTAGAAGATGATTTATGAATAAGAATGGAAGGTGCGTGTTAATTTATAGCAAACACTTTCTTAGACAACCATGGTGGAAACGTTTGTAGTTAAAAATAAAGCACAAATAGAAAGAGTGTAATTTGTGCTTTATAAAAGTTTAAGAAATTATACTAGCTTCTGTTTTTAATATAAGACTCCATTTATGAATTTAAAAAGATTTATAATATATGTTATATCTTTTTGAAATATTTATATATATTGTTATATTATATATCAATTCGTATGTTAGAAAATTTTTTAAAAATGATTAAATGTAAATATTTCAAAATAATTTTTTATTTTTTTAAATTTTTTTAAATTATTTCTCCTTTGGTTCTATTTATAGGACAGAAAGAAAAGGTTTTTATTAGTTCTATATATCGTATCATTAAAGTTTTAATATGAATGTATTATTTTATCTCTTATTTATTATAATGTAAATGATTTTTTTTAAAGTTATATATATTAAATAAGGATAGAGTTAAAAAGTTATTATATTTTAATAAAAAATTAACATAGTTTAAAATTTTTTTTAATCTATATAAAATATATTAAAATATTTTATAAATACGAGAGGAGTAAACTAATCATTCTCTCAGGGGAGCAGAGATAGTAATTTACATTTATCTTGACAAAGTTTTCGTCTGTTTGTCTGTTTCTAAGAGCATCTTTATTCCTTTCCCCGAAAGCATCTATCTCTCAAATGACCATTTTACCCTTACTGCATGCATCCCAGCTGTCAAATTGCTAACCGGAGTAATTACGTCCCCATCTGCGGATGCAGCCTCACTGGGCCAAATAAACACACACAGACGCCCATTGAACCATATTGCAAGTTCCCTCCGTAAGAGAGGGCACTGAGAATCCTTAAGATGGACCAAATTCAACACAAATTCGTCGAAGTCGGAGGCCTCAAGCTTCACGTCGCCGATGTCGGAACCGGTTAGAATAACAATGATCCTCTGCTTCTTTCATGATTTCGCTCCTTCTTACAACCTTTATAGCCGGAAGCTTCAAACATTGTTTTTTGTGTGAGTATTTCATCAGGTCCTAACGTCGTCGTTTTCCTGCACGGCTTCCCCGAGATATGGTACTCCTGGCGCCACCAGATGATCGCCCTCGCCGGTGCCGGCTTCAGAGCTATCGCCCCCGATTACAGAGGCTATGGCCTTTCTGACCCGCCGCCCGAACCCGACAAAACCTCCTTCTCTGTCATTACCAATGACCTACTTGCAATGCTCGATGCACTTGGTCTCAATAAGGTTACTGTGTTATATATATATATATATATATATATCTCTGTGGACTTTCTGCGTTTTTTATGCTAACATGAAGTGAATTATCCTAGACGAGTTAGTGTTTCATCATTCTACTTTTCATTAAATAATAAGAGTGAATCGCTCTAAGCTCTCTCGAGGAATGAGCAATTTCCAGCCAGGCAGCTTCTGTTGAGAGATTCAAAACAGTGGTCAATATTGACTAGTCACCATATCAAATACTACCTCCGTCTTAGATATAAGATCTTGTTTAACTTTTATTTTGGTCCTAAATATAAGGTTCCAATCCACTTTGTCTCTCATATTTATATATATTTTTTCAAAGTAACCCTTCTAACAATGATGGTTCTAATCAATACACTTAATTAGTAAGGATATTTTAAGAAAGACAACACCTATTTAAAACAAATAACTAATTCAACTTATTTCCTTAATCTTCTCAAGTTAGTCAACTGGTTCTTATAATTAGGACCGGAGGTAGTATATCAATAGACTGGAAAAAGTAAAATTTTTCTGTGTAACAGTAACTATTATGGATTAATCGGTTGATATATATTTATGTTAACATATTCCCTTTCTCAACAACGTAAATAGGTTTTCCTAGTTGCAAAAGACTTTGGAGCTCGACCTGCATATTTACTTGCAGTTCTACACCCTGAAAGGGTCTTAGGTGTTATCTCACTGGGAGTTCCATATTTTCCTCCTGCCCCCTCTCAGTTCCACAAATACCTTCCTGAAGGCTTCTACATTTCAAGATGGAAGGTATAATCTTAAACCGTGTTGAGTTTCTAATTTCTATTGCTATTATAATCATTATTGGTAGTGTCTATCATATGCAACCTTAATTGTTCTCTTTTTGGTTTTTCTCAGGAACCAGGAAGGGCAGAGGCTGATTTTGGACGTTTCGATGCAAAGACGGTTCTGAAAAACATTTACATCCTCTTCTCTAGAAGTGAGATACCAATCGCTGAGGAAAACCAGGAGATTATGGATTTGGTGGATCCATCAACCCCTCTTCCCCCTTGGTTTACAGAAGAAGATCTTGCAGCTTATGCAGCACTGTACGAGAAATCTGGGTTCCCAAACGCATTGAAGGTTCCATACAGGTAAAGGAATTAATGATTCTTGTTCTTGAGAAAATCGAGAAAACAATGATGGTTTATGATCTAGAACTAGACTTATAATTACTTTTTGTATTTACATTTACATATATAGGTCGTTGGGTGAAGTGTACAACATAGCAGATCCAACAGCCAAAGTTGCAGCTCTTGTTATAATGGGAGGGAAGGATTATTTTCTCAAGTTTCCAGGGATTGAGGATCTAATAAAGAGTGGGAAGACGAAAGAATTTGCACCCAACTCGGAAATAACGTTCATTCCAGAGGGAGGCCATTTGTTCAGGAGCAATCCCCGAACGAGTTAATCAGCTGATCCTTGACTTCCTTGGCAAGCATTTGAAACTTACCTGAGATTTCTGGAGACTGAGACACATGATGTTATGAGTGGAAGTTGCAATATAGAATATAAATGTGGTGAATCAGATTATGTTATGACTCATACCCCTGCAGTGTGATAATCCGTGTGTAGCTAGGCTTCCAATCAAATTGAAGTAATGAATAAAAAAGACAATTTAACTGGGAATGGCTAGAGATTAGAGATTAAAATAACGACTAGCGCGCGAAAAAAAAAATGATAATAATTGTATTGTAGGAGATTTTGTTTGTAGATATCAATCGGTTTGATCATTATTATATTGGTTTTATATTGACATCATTATAAAATGAAATCATTATTATTATCTGTTTTATTATGTTTACTTTTCATTAAAATGTATATTTAAAAAATTTAATATTTTTGTAGAAGGAATGAGCATTTTTAATTTAAAATATAATAAAAACCATTTAAATCGATCTAGAAAATCTATATGAGGCCGGGGTATATATATGTTTACCTACCAAATTGGGGTCCCTTTTTAAAAGTTAAAAAATCAATAATTTTTTGATGTTTCGGAGATTTTTTAGAAAAAATGGTTTATTGGGCAGAGATTTTATTAAAACTAAAAAGGTAGCTAGAAATTATTTGTGTTTGGTTATTATAATTATAAGAAGTGATTTATTTATTAGTAAAATAATATTTTATGATATTCTCGTGTATTTACGAATTTTTATTATGATATTCTTGCACATGATTATACTACCTCTGGTCCTAATTATAAGACCCAATTAACTAATTTGAGGAGATTAAGGAAGTAAGTTAAGTTAGTTATTTGTAACAAATAAGTGTTGTCATTCCTAAAATATCCTTGCTAATTAAATGTGTTGGTTAGAACTATTATTATTAGAAGAACTATCTTAGGAAAAAAATACATAAATATAAGAGATAAAATGATTAGGGTCTTATAATTAAGACCAAACTAAAAGTCAAACGGGATCTTAATATACCGGAGGTAGTATTATTTACGTAGAAATTGATTCTCACAAAAAGTTTGGATGCGACTCGGTTCATGATCCCCGTTACTTGTATCTAGTATGGCTGAAAATGGAAGATAATCGTCAACTTTCAAACCTGGTCCGGGAAATACGTGAACAGAGAATCCAGATTTGTCTTTTTTGTCTCGGGTCAGATAAGATAAAAAATCATTTCTGTCTTTTCCAGAAAGCATCATCATCTTCATAGTTCATTCCCATTCCTTGAGGTTCAACTGAACCTGAGGCCGCAAAGACCATTTTGACTTAAGTACATTGCATGCTAGGCAGCCAGCTGTAAAAATGCCTAGTGCTCATTGCCTATCCATGCAGCCTCATCGGCCAATTATATATATATATATAGAGAGAGAGAGACACACACACACAGCGAACGAGTATTTACTGTTTGCTCAGTAAGAAGAGAGTCCCCCCGAAATCGCTCAGAACCAGAGAATCCGCAAGATGGACCAAATTCAACACAAATTCGTCGACGTCGGAGGCCTCAAGCTTCACGTCGCGGAAATCGGGACCGGTCTCAATAATAATAATTATCCTTTTTCGTTCCTGATTTTGTTCCTTCCTACTATTCTATACGAAGCTTCTAACATTTCTCGTTTTTTGGGAGTTTCAGGTCCTAAAGTCGTCGTTTTCCTGCATGGTTTCCCTGAGATATGGTACTCCTGGCGTCACCAGATGATTGCTCTTGCCGGTGCCGGCTTCAGAGCTATTGCCCCCGATTACAGAGGCTACGGCCTTTCTGACCCGCCGCCCGAACCCGAGAAAGCCGCCTTCTCTGACATTGTCAGTGATCTGCTTCGAATGCTCGATGCACTTGATCTTTCTAAGGTACTGAAAATGTGGGCTTTCTGCATTTTTCAAGTCAGAAAACTGTAAACCCTTGAGAGTTTATGCTTCATCTTCCTAATTTGTTTAATAACGAGGGTGAATCACACTAAGCTTTCTCAAGAAGTTAGGAAATGATACATGTGGCTGTGAACCTGTGGAAATATATTTCATTTTAAAAGAAACATATTTTTCTGTTTTAATTTTAATGAACTGATTGCTAAGATAACCTTTTGCCGAGTATATTGCATTATAAAATGTTAGCTGCCTTTCTTGTCATTTTAAACGTAAAATTTAATTTCCATGTTGTGTAGGAAACTATAATTTTACTGGATTAATTTGTTTAATGAATACGGAATGTGAGTAGAGCCAGCCCGATTATATGTTTGAAAGCAAACATGTTAGCGATCAATCTCTGATGAATTTGGCATATTACATGTTAGTAAACTGAAAAAGTGAGCCTTTCCCTGTGGCTGTTTGCATTAACTGGTTAATCTAATTCTATTCATGTATTCTCCTTCACTTCAACCATGTAAATATAGGTTTTCCTTGTTGGAAAAGACTTTGGCGTTCGAGTGGGCTACTTATTTGCCACTCTACACCCAGAAAGGGTCTTGGGTATCATAACATTTGGAGCTCCATACGTGCCTCCAGGCTCCTCTCAGCTCCACAAATACTTTCCTGAAGGCTTGTACATTTTAAGATTTCAGGTAACCTTAACTCTGCTGTGTTTCAAGTGTTGTCACAAATCCTATTTATTATGTAATCTTGCCCTGTCCATTTTAGGAACCTGGAAGAGCAGAGGCTGATTTTGGACGTCTTGATGCAAAGACTATTGTAAGAAACATTTACATACTTTTCTCAAGAAGTGAGGTACCAATAGCTGAGAAAAACCAGGAGATTATGGATTTGGTGGATCCATCAACCCCTCTTCCCCCTTGGTTCACAGAAGAAGATCTTGCAGCATATGGGACATTGTATGAGAAATCTGGATTCCAAACTGCATTGAAGGTTCCATACAGGTAATGCAATGATTTTGTTATGTAGGAATTTTGGTTCTCTTAGTTCTGATCTGCCAAAATGTGCTCAACGTAGGTCTACTTTTGTACAAAAAAACATGGAGAGGAGCACGATGTGCTCTGTGGATAAAATATCTATTTTAGAAACTTTTTGAGCTGGTGGTGACTTTGGTTTTTCTGGCCTTTTGCATTTATAGGTCTCTTGGTGAAGAATTCAACTTGCCAGATCCAATAGTCAAAGTTCCAGCACTTCTAATTGTTGGTGGCAAGGATTATTCTCTTAAATTTCGAGGGGTGGAGGATTCAATAAAGAGTGGAAAGGGGAAAGAATTTGTCCCCAATCTGGAAATAGCATTTGTTCCTGAGGGAACTCATTTTGTTCAGGAACAATTCCCTGAACGAGTTAATAAGCTTATTCTTGACTTTTTTAGTGAGCACATTTGATTGTGAACTTCAATTTGAAGACTTTGTCTCGAATAAGTCCCCTAATAAGTCCCTTGATTCGGTCAAATGTTAATGGAAGATTTGAACATTATGCAGCCCTTTTTTTCCTTTCTTTCTTCTTTTTCACATAAAAATAGATTGATCTGGATGCCACTTTCCGAAATGGTAACACTAAACCGCACTAAACTCAGATTGATGGATGACAATAATTACTGTTATGACGTCTTGTAAACAAAATTTGGAAGAAATAATCCCTTAGTTCTCTAAGTTTTTTCTCATTTATAACTCAATTATTCATGACTCACTGTAATTGAGTCTTTCAAATTTTAACTTGCTCATAACTTAGTCGCTAATCTTTTCACATTCAATAATTTAATCTTTATTATATAAAAAAATAGCAAGAGCCCTTAAATGATATATTTATGAGTAGCCCTTTTGTTGGTTGCTATTTTTTTTTTTTCAATAAAAAAGCTACATAATTCAGCTTGACTACAATGATTTAAATAATTGACAGCAACAACTTAAGACTACACATATTCGGTGTTGGTTGCTTTCAAGTACAATATATAAGCCACAAACCGGTATTTGTAATAGCCAGACAAGAATAAAGATGCCAAGACGAATACGCCAGACATTCAATTAGGTGCCATTTGGTACAATGAAATTCTAATGATGGAAGAGGAGATAAAGAGTTGATCTCAGACAAGCATAATCCTTCCGACCACCCCTCCTTTGCCGCCTTAAATGCTTTATGCTCGCCTAAGATCGGTTAATAACATCTCCCACTCCCAAAACCGTCGTTGCAGCCTCCTCTTTCTCATGACCACCCTTCTTCGCCGCTCCTTCTTCATCGCCTCGATCTCAGACGAGCATAAATAGATGTAATTGCCTTGGTATTTGAACTTGTAAATGCAATGTACTCTTATGAAACTCAGTGGCAATTACATTATTTGATTCCTAATCTGAATGTATATAAATATAATCACCCTCATGTCTTCGCTACCTTATAGCACCCTTACATGCCTTGTGAAAATTGCAAGTGGTTTATATGATCATTATTGCATCATTTGATGCTTCGCTTAGATGCCCGCATAGGAGCATGGAAAAACCGAGGTTGACCCTGGGCTTAAACGTGACCTTGACGTACAACAATGTGGAGTTTTGCTCCATGTCTCATGATGTTTTTGCATTCCAGGCTAGAACATAACGTGCAAAGATGTATTGAGTTTGATTCCATCCCTTATGATCCAGGATTTTTTTTTTTATGAAATGATCAAATATATTGTAAAATGTGCGTCAAGTTTAACCCCGGTCACTAGACTAGTATAAACACATGTTCGAGAAACATAATCATATCTTACACCAGCTAATCAAGGCCTCACAACAAAGATTAGAGAGAGAATTTTACAGGTTGTCTAGCTACATGCCTAATACCCGTACAAAAAGGGCACGCTCCTCCCACTTGTTCCAACAATAGTGACACTGTTTCCGTTTGAACATCAAGTAAAGAGAAACAATTCAAATTAAAGGAGCTTAGATGGTGTTCTGAAAGAAATATCCAAAATACACTCTCTATTATGCTGTGATTGCATATGCAGCTTATTTGAGAAATGACCATCTTCTAATGCAAGAAGATTTACTTGTTTTAGTATTTGAGCTTGTATTTTTGTTTGGCAAATTCCTCATATCTGAGCACTTGCAAAAATCGATGAATCACTTCATTCTTGAGATGGTTGCCTTTATACAAATATGAGAAAATTGAGAACTCAGATTAAAACTTAACGTGCAAAGCTACCCTAATTATTCTTGCATATCTTATCATCCTCACATTAAATGTTGTCTTAATAATAACCGGAAAAAGGATGGATAGACTGCACTACTGTAATAGTGGGTCAGTGCATGTTAAACTCTTGGCCTTTAGTAACTGTTACCCACTTTTCTTCCCTTTTTTCTCTCTCTGTCCTCAATGCAAAGGGCAAATCCCAAAAAGACCAAATTAAGGAGAAACAGCAAACATCAATATAACTTCTACATGAAATCTTGTCCCATTGTCATACTAATCTCTATCATTATTTGGCTAAAATGAGAAAATAACCTTCACCAACAGGAGTTGGGTAGTCACTCAAATCCTCATAGGGAGAGATGCCCAACAGTGCCTCAAACAAAATTATCCCAGTATTAAAAAAAAATGGAAAGAAAGAAAAAGAAAGTAACCCTGGCTGAAGCGATGGACAAACAAAGGATGGGTGGGTTTTAACATAATATAAAGGCTCCTGATACAAGAAAATGAATGAATGAACCAAAAAAAAAAAATTGAACCAAAAGGGAGAAAAAAATAGCACTACTATTACACAGAAACCATGCCAGGAATGAATCCAGGCATTTGCTACTGAATTTTGTATACAAGCATCTGGTCACCAATCGCATGAAACAGACACAGGAAAAAGTTATGTATTGGAAAAATAAAATGGAGCCAAGATGCAGAACTTTGATTGAGTAAAAAAGATTTGGTCAGTGTGATGAGGTGACCAGCAGAAAATCTCATTTCCTTGGGCGAGTCCTGTAACAAACACTACTGTAGGCTGAGGCTGTACAAGTTTCCTGTTTGTAGAGAGTTCTTCATGGAATTCGACACGATTCAATGACTTCACTCACAGCTTTATGAGTCTCTGGCGAAATCATGTTCAAACTCAAGTGGAATTCCTGGAGAGAGAGGTAATTATGAGTTGAGGTTGATATAAATGCTATGAACAAAAATATAGAAATGTGGGTCCTAGGTGACAGAGTAAGCCACACCCAACAAGAGACTAAACAAGGACTCCCAATAAACGTTCCACCAACCTAGAATTGAAATAAAAGTTATAGCAATTAGCAAGGCAGTCTCGGCCAGAATATTCTAGCCAGGTTTGTTTTGGAGCAGTAGCTAAAACACGCGATAAATGCTTTACACCCCAAGACAAACTGTGTGTCAATTGTCGTTCAGACCTAATCCCATACTCCTATAACCTTTACCAATCACTCCCACCCCTTTTCTGTTCCCTTTTTAATAAAAGGAAAAGGGAAAAAACAGCATTTCACCAACGACAATTGCAGAGTCTAATTTGCCATGGTACTCAATAGGGCCAAGAGCAGCATACCACAAATCGGTCTAACACAGGTACAAGAATAGCTAACTTGCGATCTGGAAGATTGTCAGCGATTGCTTCTCGTACACTCTTGCTGCAAGCCAAAATCTACACATAAAAAGCCTGAACAAATGCTGCACAATAAAACTGGGCCAAAAAAAGGACAAGAAAGATAACCTTTCAGTAGAAAGAAAGGCTAGAAGCAGGGCTGAATATGCTTCTACAATCATTTTCTCAGCTTCCTTTTCACCCTCTAGCAAAGCCGCCTCATCATTCTGCATGATGAAACATATCATAACTCTTGAAAATAACATCAGAGTAGGCAAAGAACAGTCCAATATTTATTTCCTGCCTTAATTCTTGGGACCTGATGTCCAGGCTCAGCATTTTTTTATTTCCTTGTTCATCTGAATTAAATCTACATTATTCACTTGCAAGTTGCATATAAATAAATGATTGCAATTATTTTACTTAGGTGAACAATAATAACAATCCATCATCTAAAATGCTGAAGCAGCATTAAATGATACGATAAAATGGATGCATGGATCAATAAATCGGCGACAATAACTTCCATTATTTGATGCAGCATATTCCCCAGATCCCTAAATTAATAAGGAATAAAAATGAGCAAATTCGATAAAATTCTAAATTACAAATGGTACCAACCAGTTGTTTATCTTCCCCAGATCCCTCACTCCCGCCCTGGTTTGCCAAGAAAATAGAGCATAACAATTGAATAACGTCTCTGTGAGCTTCTTGGCCCAAGCCCTCTGAGGCAGGTAGCGTAATACTGGCTGCAGCCAGACGTGATCTGTAGAAAACCAGTAACAAAATTAGAGGGAGCAATTAAAAAAAAAAGAAAAGAAAAAAGAAAAAAAAGACATAAATATTGTCAGTATTCCAACTGCCAGTCAATAAACTGCTGTAAAATAAAATTACCTGTTCTGACTATCCTTCTCTACCAGATTCACAAGCAAGCCCAAAATGGCAACAAGAAAATCTAGGTCATGATCAGTAAGATGTGCTTCAAATGGATCGCTGATTGCAACTTTTGAAGTATTTTCTCTTATCTGAGAAAAGGATAATGATGTTGAGCTGAAAGAAGGGAAATGGCCAGCAATTAACGAAGACATGGTCTCCAGTCCACCATGTAAAGCAATTTGCTTACAGCCAACAGGATTGTCATTAGTCAAATTCATCAGCACCTACAATAAGAACAAAAATTAGCACATGACTTGTATCCAATCCTCTACTTTCCATGAGGAAAGTCAAAAAAGGAGTACTGCCAGAAAAGGGAGAGAGGAGGGGGAGGAGAGTGCAGATGGTTCATATCCTTGCTGAATTGAGAGGCCTACAATTATAACTAACAAAAACAAGAATTGCATGTCATCCAGCATTTCCCTGGGGCATGTCATTAACTGAGAGAATGGATAATAATTGAGATATAGATAGATCAAACACAAAGAAATACCTTGACAGCTGTAAGAAGGCAATCAGCTAGAAGACTGGATGCTCCTTCATCACCAACGTCAGAAGTGGAACAACTGACATCATTAATTGATTGTAGGTGGTCCACAGTTGACTGGGATTGGTGTCCATCTTCAAATTCTCTTTTTGAAAGCTCACGTTTTTTAGATTGATTTCGTTTGTGTTTCCCCGACATTAGGTCCCACTTAGAGGGTTGAAACTCATCCTCATCAAATGCAAACGGATCTTGGCTATCATCTAAAACAACAACAGGAATGCCATCAGTTGAGGAGACATTCTTCTGAGAACAGTTATAGGCCATGTTTGTTTTGCAATCTGAACTCCTTGAGGAACCACTGCAAGATCCATAACTGGAAGAACTGACTCTCATCTCCAGCGAACAAGCATCACTCATTGAAGTGCTGGAAATTTCATAGACGGAAGGCAAGTTTTCCAACTGAGAACTAGTCAACAATTGGCTGTTATGAGATGCATTAGCTTTCTTATCTAACGAGGCTCTCCCTTGACCACAGTAATTTCCGGAATAATTCTTGGATAAGGTCTCATTTCCTGCAAATTAAAACAGCAATCTAAATATCTGGAAGGCATATTTCAATATTAGTTAGAATAAACAATTTCAAACAACTTATTGCAAATAATTTAATTAAAAGGGTAGCGTTATTGTTAAAGTCAGTATAACATGCATGACAAAATCCTGAATACTTCATCAGGAAAAGGTACATCTTTTTCAGTGCTGACAAAGGTGCTCACCATAGCACACAGAAGTGAGACACCAAACAGTAGCACCAAAAGCCACCTTTAGCAACTTTTGTACGGTGAAAGCAAAATGCCTCAATTGCCTTAGTCAAATGAATGAATCTAACTAGAAACCCAAGCCCAAACATTATACATTACCATCTGAAAAGTCCATACCTCCTTTTCCTATACAGGATAACTTGATGAAGTAGGCATTATAAATCCAACACATTAAGGTCGCCTTTCACCTTTGACTACCTTGACCTTTTAAATCACATGTAATCCATAGTTTCAGGCTTTAAGCTTAGTCAACGTTCTCATAGTCTTTTGTTGTACAAACTACCTACACCCACCAATGCAATGCGCAGCTCTGTACTTCCCATGAGCAGACTTGCCAACACGGTAAGCGCCCCCCATCCCCACCCCTCAAGGGATCATCACCCATCAATGTGGCAAGCGTCCCCTCCATGCCCTCTGCTTTCTTTTCCAAGGGAAGGATCACCAATGTGGCGCTCCCTCCCTGCCCTCTCCTTTCTTTTCCAAGGGAAGGGTCGCTTATGTAGCAAGTACCCCCACCCCCGAGGGTGCAACTGCTAGCATGGCAAGGGCCAAATCCCCCACCCACCATATTTAATAGCACAGCATTCGAAAATATGTTACCTTCAAGGTCTGTAAGCAGATCCATCTGAGGACCATGACCATCCAAAGCAAAAGGACTGCAAGACTTGCTATCCTTTGATGATGTAGAAGCACTTCGTCGTAAATTTAGATCTAAAAGTTAAAAGCTTTTGTTAGTGTGTTTTTGGGAAGGGGTGGGTAAGTGGGAGACGGAATGAGAACTATAAATCATTTTAAAATGTAAATTTATCAAAGCATAATAGCATATTTAAAAAAGATCATTATAGGAGACAGAGATCTACGAAAGGGGGAAATTGCCCCAGATGTACCATTACCTGAGAGAAGTTTAACAATCCGTATAACCAGCTCTGTGAAAGATAATAGTGTTGCCAGAGGACTCAACTTTCTTTTCATTCCAAGCAAATGATTCTATTATGACAAAATACATGTAAAAAAAAATGATAAATTAACAACTTCATTAAGCTAAGAATGAGATAAAGCATGAAGTCAGCTTAAGATGGGAAAACAAACAAACACACACACACACACACATTCATACGTAAAAGTCATCTATTTCAAGGGGGGAAAAACAAACTTATCACCAATTTATGAGTAAAGAATCAAGAGATAAGTGGTTGCACCTGATTGTCTTTACTGAGAAATGTAGCATTTTCCATTATCTTCAGACATTTGAGGAGTAGAGTTAAACTCTTCAGCTGTTTGTCATTTCTCAAATCTTTGATCGACAGATCTCCCATCCAACTCTGAAAGACAAATCATGATTCAAGATAATAAATACAAAAGTAAATTAATCTACATTGAGGATGTACGCGGAGAATACTGAATAGACATCAAGAGCAAACGTATTATTCACCTACTAAATGCATTACAGAGTAATAAAACTGAGGGAATATATGCAAAAGTTACTGTAACTACATATAGCTCCAAAGTACTCATAATAACTTATTTTATCATTAAATCATCTAGAAGGAAACTGCCAACGCACAGACAGTAACACGATAACAGATCTCAGAACAAGAAACATCAGAGAGACCTCAGCACTTTTGCAACTTCCCTTTGCTTTGGTTGATTAGTTTTCAAAATTCCAGTTTCCAAGAATAAGAGAATATGCAAAATTAACCTAACATACAAGCTCACACCTCCAAATCCGAATAACAATTCATGGCAACTTCAAAGACAGCATCAAGTCCTCCATGCTCCCTTAAGCGTTCTTTGAAATTTCCATTGGCCTTCCGAACTGCACCAGTGGTTTCTGACAATACACATTGCCCGAATAACAACCAAAAATAAAAAGAATTATCAACAGAGCATTAAATTACAGAAAGCAATTGGTTGATCACATACGAGATTATAAAGAGAATTAGCAGAACCTCCAAAGATTACAGTCTATACAAGTCATTTCATGGTCAAATGCAAGCATCAAAAGGTCTGCCAAACATTAAAATTTTAGCTTGAGTAAAGAAAGGTCACAACGCAATATCATAAATCATAAATTGCATGAAGAAAACTACGCAAATCTCAATTTTAAAGGAAAAGAAAGTAAACAAGACAACTGCAATGTGATACTTTTGACCCAGTACAAATTCAACAAGGTCAAGCTCAACTCCATCAAATCGGAAGTAACTTCAAATTTCAAATATTCAAAAGCAATACATGTAACGTGTGGCATCATAGCTTTGTGAGCTAGAATAATGAGTCCTAGACTGTCAAGTATACAGGTTAAATACATACATGGGATATTTTCACTTTTGCATGAAACAGCTAACTTTAGCATATTAAAGAACCAGATAAAGTGATGGAAAAGAAGAACTTTAGCTGGTAACATATCATGTTCAAGGTGATATTCAGTTCAGTACCATCAAGAGAGATGGCAGATATGCAAGCCTTCTCAATAGTTAGCAATGCTAACCACATTGGGCATAACTCTGGCCTCTCTACCCCACTATCGTTCCGACAGGTGGTTTTTAGCTCTTTACAATTCACTAGAATTTCTTCAACTCTAGAAAAAACTGCTACAGAACTGGAGTCCAATCTGCTCGTTGTATTTTTTAAGACATCAGCTTTTTGTCGCAATGCTAGAAGTTTCGAGCCAAGTTTAGGTTCTCTGTCTTCACTGGCTGTGAAGACAATCGGTCTCAACAACTTGATCAGAAACCGAACACAACTAGGTGATTCAAGAAGGCGATCATCTTGACCCTAAAACAAAAGTATATTTGGTAAGTCAATCATGCAGTGTGATAATATTAGAGAGTCCACACTTAGTATCAAGAGAAAATATATGCCACTAAAATATCGTGCAAGCAGGCAATGAACAATTCTTTCCTGCCCAACAAACATCAAAAGTGAAGCCAGAACATAAACTTGTCAATATATGCAACACATATTTCTTCATACACACATCCTATGTGCTTCCCACATGTGAAGAGCTTCCAAAAGCTTTTCTTGTCAAGGACAAGGTATGCCAGGCTTCAGAACAAGCAACTAGTAGAAGCAGAAAATCATTGGAGGTTAATGAATGTTTTAAGCATCAAATTCCCACCAACCATAAACAATATGCTAGAAAGTTTGATGAATGAGGAACCATGCCCGTAGGGACAACCAAGAGTAAATGCACGACAGAACAAGCTTAGTAGAAATTAGACCTGTTAAAGGCAGCAGAATATTGCTATGATAGATAGGTTCCTCCACTAAATATAAAAAATTAAAGGAAGGAATTTTTATAAATGACACACTAAACTATTATTCCCACATATGGACAGACAAAAGAATTTTTATAAATGACACACTAAACTATTATTCCCACATATGGACAGACAAAAGCGTAAGCAACCAAGCGTACTTCAGATCTTGTAATATAATAGATATTGATGATGATAATTTTAAGAAGAGACTATCTAGCATGTAAGCCTAAGCCAATGTCAGTTAAAAATAGAAGATCTATTAGAGACGCAAGTGTCTTAGAAATGAAAGAAAAGCCCACATATGCCAAATGTCTCAGCGATCAGAGAGGCTTCAACCCATGAAATTTCCAAGACATGTATAGAAAAGTCAAATAAGAGCAAAAGAATGCCGAAAGGGAAGAAGCAACAATAAAGGCCAGTTCTGAAACAACACAATGTCCATTTGACGGACAACAGAATGTCCATTTGCTCAAATCCAGCTTTTCGATTTGAGCAGATGTCAGTCTGGAAGTTGTTAGCATGAAATTACAGTGACAGAAAAGAAGCTAAGTTCCAGATCGCTAAATTAGGGACCAAATGATGAGTTAAAGATAGAAAGGCAGATTAATTGTTGGAGGTAAGGAGTGACAATCAAAACTCAGGAAGGAAAATTATGGATTCAATGGATTGTGTATCTTAGAATGTTCATGGTTTAGAATCCAAGTCTGGTATGGTTTTTAATTGATATTAGAAGTGAAGGAAAAGAGATAAGGCTTCTACCCAGAAGGTTGATGCTTCATAGTACTTCCATACACATCTACCCATTTCAGGATTTTTTTTTTTTTTTTCCTCATACCAACTCAGCCTTAAAAACAATATATGAATCCATGTGGCAAAACTTACGCATTGAAAATGTGAGACAGTCAGCCATAGCAATAGAGATATATTATGAATGACTAAGAACTAAATCGAGAATCAGACATACAAAAAGACAGCAAACTTGCTGAGTAAAGCAATAGCCTACTCAATATTTGGGGGAAAACATAGCATTGCATTAATATTAAAAGAGAAAGATCGCCTGTAACCTCTAGCAGCTTGCGAAAGCTTACAATTATGAAAGCTTCTTTCATAATTCACTACAGTATCAACTTCACTAATAGAACCCCACAAGACTTACATCGCTGGTCAAGATATGTACAAGTGTTGCAGCTGCAAGATTGCTGGGAGAATCATCAAGACTGAGCCGCAAAATAGCATCAATTATTGCCTTTGCCATCCTGGAAAGAAGGCACATGAGAGATTTATCAGATACACTTCCACAACAACATATTTTCTCAGAGAATAAGTAAAACATGTATCCTCAGTTTAAAATTTCAGTTATTATTTCCTTCAATTGTTTTTTTTTTCAATTTTAGGAAAATCAATTTGAGTAACCCAACTGTTTTTGCATTAGCATAACATGAAGAATGCATGGCAGTTAATGAGTATTTATAAAGGTTTAAAATGTCTTATGTAGCAAGTGACGAGGCAAAGTTACATGCAACTCTGAATCCAGGCAAAACTACGCGATTACTCTCATAGCCTCACTCTATCAATTGGTGAAAAAATCTGGTGTGCAAATGACACCAGTGCACCCTTAAAGGTGTCCAAAATCTAAGTTCCAATATACGAATCATTTGAAAAATTAGTAGAGAGATCCCAAAGTCGAATCTAATTGGTAATTCTTATGCTAGACTCACATATTAACCAAAACTCGTGTGTTTCTTTTCTTTTCTAAGTCGAATCTAATTGGTAATTCTTATGCTAGACTCACACATTAACCAAAATACATGTGTTTCTTTTCTCTCTTCTTTTTCACCAAAGCCTCAAAGCCGCAAGGAAATAATCGGCCCAACAACGAAAATTTGAATTATAAACTACCGCCCAACGTCAGAAGCTAGTATTAATTAAAAAGAAACACACTAAATTGATAAATCACATTCGTCAAACCAAAGAACTACCATGAGTTAATCCATCTAACCCTGATCCCAATTTTAAATTTTAGGCTTTAAATTTCACTTCAGCAAACCCCAACACCAGAGTTTCAATAATTTAAATTCTTATACGTTCATAAAATTTTCATGCTACTTCACATACCCTTGAGTTCGTAGAAGCCTCCGTTGATGCGCCGTACCGCATATAGACAACAGAGATACCAAGCTCGCCCTTCTGATCCGCACCGGCTGACCTTTCCGAAGCCCATCCAGAGCGAAATTCACCTCATCTACATGCTCCATCATCTCCCCAAACTCCTGCGCCTCCATCAACGTAGAAGTTGCCGGAATCGACAGCCCACAGTCCTTGGGCACTTCTGTCTCCTTCTTTCCAGTCCTTGCTCTCTTCGACTTCCTAGACACCCCGCTGCACAAATCGTCGAAAGGGACCCTTGAGGGTAAGATCGAATTCGTATCGCAGGGGTCCGAATCGAACGCAGACCAATGCGAAGACGAACCTTGGGACGAGAATGCGAAGCCGCACAGGTGGTCCTGCGAACTTTCTTGGGACAAAGAATCCCTGCAGGTCTCGGAAACGTCGTCGTCCAAGTTGTCGGAGTAGGCCCTCGAAATTGGTCTGTTGCGGCGCCCGTATGTCCGAACGATCATGTTTGGTCCTCCAAAGTCACTGCAGGGCGGCTCTGAATGCTATCTTGAAGGGTATCGATTGGGCATTCTGAGTAAAGAAGGGGGCTTTTTGGGAATCAAAAACTGAAATTTGAATTGAGTGGATTGAGAATTAAGAATACAGGAAGGCGAAGTAGGGTTTCAAAGATGTCTCAATCACTGGGCGATTCGTTGAGCTGAAGAAGATGACGAAGGGCCCCGCAGGTAGAAAGAAGATCGATGACGGACAACACAGATTTGTTTTGCGGGCTTCACTGAGGTCTTTTCTGGGTATTCTTGTTTCCTTTCTTGAAAATTTTTCATTTTTTATTTTTCCGAATTTCCTCTGTTTTATCAAATTCCGTGCGAGTTTTTAAAACCTCCGGGCCATAACATAAGCATCGTCCCCTGGGAAACAAAATTAAACGAGGTTTTCCGAACGAGGTTAATTTGGGGAATCTGCAACTTGTAATGATTTGAGTACATCCCCAGTTAAACAATTTTTTTTTTTTGACCAAGACCCAGTTAAACAATATTTAAATCATTATAAAATAGAATATGTTAATAAAATCCAGTCCAATTTTTTTTTTTGCCATCTAAAATCCAGTCCAATTAAACATGGAATTTACTCAAATTTCATATTAATCTATCAAGTAATATATTATCGTCTGGTCAAAAAAAGTAATATATTATCGTGAGTGCTTTTTGAAAAATGACAGAAAAATACTTAAAAGAGATAAATAGATAGTTTTATCACTTTTGTAATAGTTTTGACAAGCCAAAATCTATTAAAATTACTTATTTATAATTTTAAATTTAATATCTGTTTTCTTTCATTTTTTCTAGTTATTAATATTTTTAAATTTAAATTTCTTGCTTTTGCTAAAAAAATCAATTTCATGAATATATGACAGGGATGAAAGTTAATTCTTCCAAATTTAAAATTCAATGAGTATTTAAATTTTAAAACGCCAAAAAAATTGCCTTCTCTTAGCAAAAAATAAAACATTTTTCTCATATTTCTTTATAATTTGAATTTGAGGAATTATATGGAAAATTTTTCAATTATTGGAACTTTGGAGTGTTAGAATCAATTATCAATCATCTATTATTGCGCAATCTCTGTAAGAAGGAGATTATGAATAGTGATATATGTATAATTTGTCGTGAACGATATGTTTTGTTTGCTTAAACCGGTGTTAGATTACATAAACCATGTGTTATTGTTTGACTAGATACATACACAGTAATTAATTTAGATATTGTATGGAAATGAATTTGTATTATAATTATATTTTAGGTTGTTGGAGAGAATTTTAAAAAGAATAAGAAATTTATCAAATCATGACAGTTTTGAATTCTTGTGCCTCCTCATGCCTCATCGGCACTGTTTGGTATTAAGGTTGGGGAGCTTGGGCTTGGCCTTGGCCATGTATCAAGGATTGAGTGATTTTCTGTTTGACACGCGGGGCGTATGATAATAACTCGGGCTTCCCACCATACTACGTAAGTTGACTTGAATAATAAGAGCTGAAAAAACAGACCGAGTCTGTTTAAAAAGACCAACCATATAGGCTGAAAAATAAATAGGTCGGCCTGTTTAAACCCACTAAAAGTATTTTTTTTCTTAATTTATATTTTTTTTTTGACTCTAACCTAAGTCCCTAACATCTCACACACTCAGACATTCTCTATCTCTAAGTTTCACTTTCAGTCTTTCACTCGCTCTTAGCTCACACCTCAATCTCTAATGATATTAAAATAAACAAAAATATATTTTTCATCCTAAATCAAATTTCAAATTTATATTTATTTAAACCAACAGTTATATATTAAAATAAACAAAATATATTCCCCGTATTAAAACAAAAATTTTAACAATTGAACCAACAAATATGTATCAATTTGTATATATGTTATAAAATTTTAATAAATGGGTTAACACTTTTTCTATAGTGGTTATATCAAAATTTTTACTCTATATTTAAATAGAATTAGACAAGCGAACTAGGTAAAACCAAAAAATACGATCTTGAACAAAAGCAAAAGGAGGGTGACATGGTTAACTCCACTAAAAGTATACTATGGATCAATCCAAAGTACTAAGGTATTTCAGACTTCCCATGAGACTGTGCAGCAAAGTGATTTTCACAATTAAAATCTAAGGAAAAAAAAGTAGTAAGTAGACAACACATAATCAATCCCTAGTGTTTACTAAGTTGAAACCTTTAAAACAAACTTAATATTGATACTTTTAAATAAACTTACTGACGGGCGAAAAATTCTATTCAGAAAGACGGAAGAAGACATGTTAGACTAAAAAATAGCTAAATGGTATTGAGAAGAAATCATTGATATATAAATATTTTTTTTGCTAAAGCATAAGTATCCTCCTATTAGAGTTAATCCTATTTTAAGCATTATCGGGCACTAAATGTGGGCACCTTGACTAGTCCCTTTCGCTAGACTCAACCCCTGTTGATAAATCATTAATATTTTTAGAAGTTAAGAAGAACCTACTTACTAGTGAAGCATAATCAAATATTTTTATAATTGATAATAGTGATGATAGTGTTTGTCCACTTTCTTTTTTTTTAATGAAAGCATTTGTCTACTTTTAATGAAACTTTTGGATGTTAATATTATTGACTTGTTATGTCTAATGGATGTTTTAGATTTTTCATATGTTGGTGGATATTTAGATATGATGACCTTTTATATTTGTGACCTAATTTTATTTATATTTACATCTTTTACTAGTAATTTTATTTTTTTTTTTTTATTTTTTGATAAAACATGTGAGAAATATTAAAAAATAGAATTTTTTTTAAATGGGTTGAAAGCTTGCGGGCTAGCACTGAGCTCATCTACCTAAGGGTCAAGCCTAACAAATTGGGGTATTTTTAAAATTTCGGCCATGTAGGACCGGCCCTTTTAAGTCCATCGACCTTGTAGGGCTAGCCTGTTTTTCTAACCCTCCACCTCTCTCCCGATATTGTTTTTGCAATCTTGGGATTGAAAATTGTAGAAACAAAAATATTTTTAATTATTATAATTTTCAAACAAGACTACTTTGCTTATTTTTTATCTAGCTTCTCATCATCAAACCGTTGTTGCCTTTCTTTTTCTCCATTGCTACTCTACTCTCATGTTGGTGTAGCCATTGTTCTGTTACTCTTACCGTCAAGAAAGTCGCGTCATAGGTAATTTGTTCTTTTGCGCCCTCTTACACTGTTCATTCTTCATTTCATGACCAAGCATGCAAGTTTAGGAGTTTCAGGGTTGGTAGCATCTTTTCTCTCATTTGCTTTGCTTCTTACTCATCCTCGCTTTTAAATGTGCAATACAGGTGCCTTAAAAATAAAGGGATTCAGTTTATTCTCACACTTTCAGGTGTGATTTATTGATGTTTTTTGGCTTTTCACACTTTATGGCATATTAAAAATAAAATTAAGAAAATCATTCCTTTCAAATGTTACTTCATACCAAACATAATTTAAAGTCTCAATTCCAATTTCAGTTTCAATCTAAACTCCAATGTCATTCCAATCCATCAAAATTCAAGTATGTGTACCAGACATGACCCTTATGTCTTGTCGCTCAACAAAATCTCTATATTAAGCATACGGTTTAAATTTCATCTTAGCTGAGGTCCTCTCTTCTCCAATGGTTAGTCAGCAAGTATGTGGTGCTTTTGGTGCCGTATTGGCACGTTTCCAACGCATGTCTAGCACTTTTTGGAGAGATTTTTCTCTCTTTCCTCTAATCTTTTATCTTCTTCTACTTTCTTTGTTTTTTCCTCCTTCTCCCACCTTAAACTCCCTTCACCTCTCTTCTTCATATCTGTGCCACCCTTTTTTGTGCTAGTTTCTCGTCTCTGTCTCTTTCTCTTCTCCTCAGTCTCCTTCATCTTATTTTTTTCTCTTCTTTCCACTGGTTTAGGACTTGTTTGAATTGACTTATAAGTAGCTTTTCAAATGTGATTTACAGAATTTGATGTAGGTATATGAGGAGAGTTTTGTTTCCACTTACGTGGACCTGGTTCAAAAGTCCGTTTTGAACAAAGCTAACAAGCCCTTAATTTTTACTATTTCAACCACCTCTTCCTCTGTTGCAACCATGCGTTTGTCTCTTTCTTTTCTTTCCTGTTCCTTCTTTTTTATTGTCTTCCCTCTATTCCATGTTCCTTTTGGTTGTTCTTTTTTCCTCTTTTTTCCAGTTTTTTTTTTTTGGGTCTTGGAGCAGAAATCCGAACTTAGGATTTCTAGCTTTCCTAAACCGCTTGTTACTTGTCTTTGATCTTTTTTTTTTTTTGTTTCCTTAGTTTGGTTACCAAGTTTAGGCTTCTTGTTTTCTCTGTTTTTCTTTATGTTTGGTTGTGTGTTTTTTATCTTTTAAAATTTTGGGTCTTCTTGCAGTTGGCTTGTACATTGGGTTTTCTCTCTTCTTTGGCACCTGTGCACCTATTAGATGTGGCTTTTTTTGCCACGGTCAACTTCTCATCAATGGGCCGTTGGGAAGATTTTAAATAGATTCAAAGGTATAAACGTCGTGGATTGGTCCACTCGGAAGATGATCTGTGGTGGTGTTTTATCTCATCCCTTGCTGCTTAATCTAAAGAAGCTTTCGAGTTCTTTTGCCATCAGGTTGTTGGGACAGTTTTTGGTGTCCAACTTGCCAAGATTGGAGTTGCAAGATGAAGGCTCTGTTTGGATCCGATTGGGAAACTTACGGAAGGAAACCAATGGAAAAGCTTATGGAAGAAGACCAACTACTTTCTGGGCGCTTTCATAGTCTGGGACCCTTTGTTTTTGTTGGTTTTATGCTTTACTGGGTTGGCCCTCTCCTTATGTTTATTTGCACTTTGCTTAAATTAGCCATGTATGATGGGCTGACTTTTTATATATACTTTTTTATAATTTAATTTGAATAAAAAAAAAAGAGATTTCATTTCAACCCACGCAATTATTAATTGCCCAGACTGCATGTGAAATAAATAATTTGCTATCATAACTTTGATTAAATATACTTACTTTCCTAATAAAATATAAAGTGTTACCTGGTGGCAAGTGAAAATTAAAAATTGATATATAGAATATAATGATAATGCCGGTGAAAAATACAATAAAGTATATAGAAAGAGACACATGTATGTATATATGTCCTTTATGAAATGATAATATAGATATAAAGACAACTTTATACACACACCTTATATCAAACTATTAATTAAAAATAAAATTTCAGAAGATTCATTAATCGCGTCACTATCTAGAAATTTTTTT